TATATGAGAGAAATGATGATGGGCTATGATTCCTCAAATATGAAGATTTAAAAAAGTTCAACTCTTCCTGTTACAGCCTCTTCAACAATGGTCCAGACAAGTTTTCGTCCCATTTTCAGACATTTGCTATTTCTAATCGTTACATGGAACAACTTTTCTGATTGTAGATTTGGAATCAGCATTGAAAATATGTCCTAACATGGTCCTATAACACAACCCTTCAGGGTTATAGGGGTTGTACTTTCTGACGATATTAGCATATGAAAATCAATTTTCAATTTTGTGGCCCATTATTTTGGGCCACACCCGCCGCTTAACTTTAACTGCCGCTACAGAAAAACAAACAAGTATTAAATTCTGAAATTTTTAAATTTTTCATTTCTCATGAATATAAATATGTCAGAGTGCAAAGTGGAGGAAAAAAATGATGTCCCATGGTGTAATGCATTTGTTGAATTGGCATGGAATAACCCTAATCATTTTTTTTTATCAATTTTAATAAATTTTTATTAAACATTCATGTTTAGTTTGATATCTTATTGTTTTGATATTAATTATCAATATCAATTATCTTAAAAATATGTCTTTAAATCATAAGAAAATATCTAATCAAGTATATTGAAGTTGCCTAAATTTTTTGTCATTTAGTTACTGGAGTCTTGTTAATAAAAATCATCATATATTTATGATAAATAATTTTTACATTCATTGTTATACCCTAAGGATTGCTCTTGATACTTATAAAATTCACAGATTTTTTATTAAATATACAATAGATTTACGTCATTTAGTTACCGCTCATATTATTATAATTTTTTTTAATAAGGAAAAATGATTTTCACAAAAAAACTCATTCTGTATATGTAGGAAGCTATTTGTTATGAAAAAAATGTATTTGTTTTAGATTATTGGCAAAATTACCTTGTGGTACATGTGTTTGAAAATACAAATCTGTGTCAGAATGTCATTTAGTTACCGTGGAATTGCCTTATACTATCTTCATTAAATCAATAGACGATTTAATATACACCACTTTCAACTCCACTCAATGCATTAACACAGAACTTTAGTGAGGTAAACAACTTTAATATCCACTCGGTGAAAATATGATGACGTCATATTTGGTGACTAATTCGGTCTATTAAGCACACAGAACACTATCACCAAATACTGTGTTCAGGCTAGGTTAATATTCATTGCAATAAAAAAAACCAGGCATGAGAAAAATTGTTGCCAATGGCTCATAATGAGGTACTACTATATCCTGTCTAGAGTACTTAATGATAGATTGGAGCCTTGAGGTTAAGTTCCTTGCATTCCAAATCTAATCTCGGAGTCCTGGGTTCAATTCCTGCCATTGTACAGGATTTTTTTCAGGACCAAAACTTCACTCACTAAAAGCCTAATAATTTAATTTATTGAATATGCCATCAAGGGCCAAACAATACAATTACAATACAAATTAAAATATTTTACAAGACAGGTACTGCAGGAATAGTGTGTAAAAGTGATACTTAGTTTATGTACAGGATGTACCAGGTTTAGGCCGGTTTTCCACTAGGCGTATTTATTCGCGCGAATTGAAAGCGTTGGTTCGTGCATATGCGCGTTCACATTCCTATCAGAGTTTTTGTGAGGAGAAAAAATGCGCAACCAATCAGAGTTCAGGAAGCGAATCAAAGCTTTGATTCGCGCGAATAAATTCGCCTAGTGGAAAACCAGCTTGCGGAAAGTGATGAAGTTTGCTGTTTGACATATTCTTGGTGTTGACAATTTAGAAAAATACTGTAGGCCCTAACTTGCTTTGGGCCCAAGCTCTTAAACGTAACATTTTGAGAAGGGTTTTTGAGGGGGAGTTTATTCAAAGGAGGCCTTTTTATGGATGCTCAAATAAATGCACCCTACTTTCACTGTAAATGTACAACTACAACACATAATTACCGTCAAAATGTAACTGCGTAATCATAAAGAAATGCAATTCTATTTCTTTTTCTGTAATAATCGTTGTGCTATATTAACAAATCAAAATGTACAAAATATTTATTCTAATCTTGATGAAGTTTTACTGTAATTAGTCAATTATACAGTATTAAATATGACATAAATATGAAACTATAGGTTGAAGAAATTACACAGTACAGTACAAAATATGGCACATAATCTTACAAACCATGACAACATTGTCATTAATTTGAGGATTGTATTCATCCATCTATGTCTGCTGTATATTAAAACATCCTTTATTATACAGTAGTTTATTGACTATTTACATGCTCACTACAGTTTAAATAAATGTCCATAATGTTATTTCTGAGGAAGCCACTTTTAATTTGTAGGTACCTCTGTTTTTTTGTCTCCATGGTACAATACACAATGTGTGTGATAAATCTGGTTGAACCAAATTTAAAGTATTAAACATGTACTCCATTCTGAACATGAGAAAATTAAAATTTCAAGCAAGTTCCTTTGGATCATGTAGATGTACACATGTTTGCAATAGACTTTTCCCGGATTTAGTACCAGCAACATACTCGTCCCAGAATTGATTCAATAAGCCACAAACTTCTAAACTCTGTTTCTTCTGGAGTTTCTTGAGTTTCTTCTCGTTAACCAGAGTAAAATCGGTGTTGGCCATTTCTGTTTCACAATGCAAATGTTCAATAAGTGAATACAGTGGTAGACTTTGTTTTTTAGTTTGTTCCTCGATTCGATCTAACCAGCCCTCAACATCATTGCGTGTGCGGATTGAGTGTCTATAGTTGGACCAGACAGAAGGAGGCCAAAGAGTTGATTCAATCCACTGTGAATTTATGACATCAAAAACCTAAAAAAAAAAAACAGAAACAGGAGAAACAGGGTTTTAAATACAATGTATACAGTGTTCACATGAATAAATAATGATGAAAACAAAAGCATATCTGTAGGCGTACCGAACTACGGAAATATGTGGGAAAGGTAACATGGGAAGGGTCACTGAAAGCGCCACAAATGTTTTTTTTATAAGTGCCGCTCTAAAATAAGCACCACTCTCGAGTTAGAATTTGCATACTGTGTAGTTGCCCATGCAAAATTTTTCAACAATATGGTGTAGGATTGTTTTTTTAACAGCTCCTAGTGTACAAGTTGGCCAGCAAATACATGGCTGCTTTGAGAGGCATTGTTCATACTAAAGTCACATGTAACCTTAAGTCTGTGTCCCAAGACAAGTCACAGGGCATAGTACCATCTTGAGACCACACTCTCAGAGAAGCTGTAGTTTTAACTATATGACTTAAAAAAAGTAGTCAATATTTGTGTTTTTATTATCAAAATAGATTTACAAAAAACAACTGTTTTTAAAGCATGTTAGCGATGTACGCAGCTCATTTGCTTTGTATTGTTAAGAATTCTGTAGTTATGAAATTGATAGAATCCACAATTAATCATTTACAGTAGTCATGTGATCAAAAACTTTTTCTCGGACATTTTAATTTCCTTAGACAGCTGGTTGTCGACGCGAAACATACATGAGCCTAGATGTCTATACTTGGTTATAGATTTTCAGTTTTACACGAGCAGTGTGCATCAGTGACTTGGTCTTTGATGACGAGGTTGACTGAATGCAGCTTTTCCCTCTTCCTTTGGGAGCGAAATACTGAGGCTTTTACTACAATTTCCCCCTCTGTTCCATGAAATAGATTAACACTATGAATATATGATTCATTTGCATACTGCCTACCCTGAATTCTCTTTCTTAAAGAAGGTTGATAGCAAAGAAAAGGTTTGCCAACTCGGTAAGTCTAGCCGCCATTGTCTAAGGTTTTTGTGACTTTATGGGCGGGGCTTCGCGTCCTTGTCGACATGTCAATTCTTATACTGAGATGCTTGAATTACTTGCTTACTTCCAAAATGATAGCATAAAATGATAATTGTATTCACTCACCAACTGTAGATCTGGAGAATGCACATTCTTCTGCATCCTTTTAAACAAGTTTGGAATCACGTCCACTGGCATGTAAGGAAGTCCCATTAGCTGATTCAGGATATCATGCTTGATTCCATTGCCCATGTATGCCTGATACATTCCCAGATCTTTGATGCATTTCCATATGGTCTGTTTCCAGTGGTACGCACAGCCTTTGATCGGCACACCTGGGAAAACTTTGGCAAGACTGACCCATAAATCTGAATCAAAATCTACTACCAATTCCGAAAGATGGATTCCATGAGGAAACAAACATCTGAATGCTTTCAAAATAATTTTATAGTCTCGTTTCCTTTTGCCAGACATTAGAAAAAAGGCGAAAGGAACCTGAAATAAAAAAATACTTTACAGAGCATACACAATTTGTTGGAATTGCTATAAAAATATATATTTGTCTATTTATTGACATTCAACTTTTATATTAATACAGTAAGACGTTCATTTTATGTACCCCTTGCTACCAAGGGGTATTCGTAAATTGAAAAATTCGTAAAATAGATGGAGTGTCAATTTCCAATACCTAGGCCTAGCTATCCCCTGCCATTAAGCGCCAATAGACTGACGATGGCCAGGCTTAGCACGAACCGACAGTGCAGCAGCATGGTCTACTGCGCTAGAGCCTAGCTGAATTTACCTTCAATAAAAACCAAATTATTTTAATTGCTGGCATTCTTCCACTAAACAAAATATTATTTTAACTCTTATTCAAACATCTGTATGTTGTATGGATTTTTCTATCCTGTTGTTTCTAGTTGTTTGATCGCCGAATTGTGTTGTTTACATGCATTTCGCGATCATATCTAGTATTCACAATGTCAGTGAGTTTCTGACCCCAACACTCTTGTTGGTTATCGTAAACATGTGCGCTCAATCCAATGACACTTGCATTAGTAGTTTGTTGTTGTGGTTAGGTTATTACATTGAGTATTTGAAAATCAACATTCGTAAAATAAACATTTTACTGAGCCTCGCACAATTTAATGAAAAGTAGGTAACTCAGCCACTGAAAGCCTTAGTAAGATAGTTTACAGAGTTTAAACAATCATGATTTCATAGAGTCAAAGTCTTTAATGTCAATGAATTTAAAATAAAACCCATCATAATAATTGCAATAATACAGTAATAAGTAATGGAAGTATTGAGAAACAAGGTTTGGATCAGTCTTGACATTGAAAATGACAAATAGTCGATATCAGATTATTGATTATTGGATTACAGGAGTTGAGTGTCAAGGTCTAAAGTAACACCAAATTGTGTTGGGAGAAACAATTATCCCTTCTGATGTATTAGGAGCAAATTGCAAGAGAGTTACAGAGTTCATCTTTTATGTTCTAGAGGCCCAGCACCATATGGAGGGACTTTGTCTGTATGCCCGCATCTTGCTAGACAGATGGGGTGCTTTAGAAGGGGTTAGTATAGGTAATATTATCTAGTTCGGAAGATTTAAATTAATCTGATGCTACTGTCAATAAACTCAAAAACAATTCTTTTTGAAATACTGTACCTGCATGATCTTGTCATCTTTCTGTGTAAAGCATTGGACAGTGAGCAGTTGATAGAATGGTGGTTTTACCAGTTTGCTGGTTGTATCAATATACCATTCTTTGGCCTTTGACAAATGTTGCAATTGGGTGGCTGTAGCCAGAATGAGATGATGCCTGCCCTCTGTGGCAATGTCTCCTTTCAGAAAACCTGTTGGAAACATGAAATCAATGTGTAAAAAATAAAATTCACTTTTTGGAATCCAGTATGCCAATTCATGTGTAATGGAAACCTTGGGATACTGCTCCATTTTGGTGTCATGGTACGTAGTGGTGGGTTCAAGATAATATATTCAAGGGTTGAAGCTATTTGACTACAGTAGGCACTAGAGAATTTGGTTTGATATGTTTTAGAATGTATTTTAAAAATTCTCCTTTTTTTTAGTCCGCTGAGTTGTGGTCAACCTGTTTAGCCTGGTTAGTCTGCTGGCTCACTAGTTAGCTAAAGATAATAATAGAACATGCTGTTACCCGGAGGAAGTGCGTCATGCTGGATATCAAATTCCAGAACTTTTGGCTCTACTGGTCTTGTCTTCTGCCTGAAACGGTTTGCAACTCTCTTTAGATTATCAAATTTCAATTTCTTCTCATCACCGGGGCAACCAGCATTGTTCACCAAGACTTCATTGACAATTTGGGTTGCTGATTTCTGTAATTGTTCTCTTGCTTGCTTCTTTACTTGGTTGATGACGCTCAGGGCTAACACTCCCTTAGGATTTCCAGAGTGACAGTGTGTTTTTGGACCTTTTTTGCACATGTTGCCTTTCTGCAATATAGTTGCCCCACAGAACACTCGTTTGTTTCGAACAGTACACCTAGGGTAATAACAAAAACATAAATTTTAAGCTTTTTTTATTGACAATAATTATCCTAAATTATAACTGTATAATTGTAAATTTCAAATTACATTAGTATAATATAATAATTGTACCTCCATCTGATACCATGTTTGCTCTCTGTCTGTTGTGTGTAAGAGTAACCATTGGTGTCAATCAACTTTGGATGTGAACGTTGAGTTGAATTCTTCACTATGAAGTATTGAACTTGGTTATCTTCAGCTGGACTATCTTTAGATTGCTGGGTTGAAAGGGCTATGACATCTGGGCCTAAAATATCTCCACATTGGATATTGTCTTGGTCGGTTACATCTCGTTCTTTATCTAACAGGTTACTTCCATGTGTGGACATGTTTTCTTGTCCTATGCTTTCTTGATGTTCAGGTTCATGATAGGCAGTCACTTCACATGTACTGTAGACAGCTGGTGTTTGATTAGCATCTGAGGTTGGCAGTACAGAACTCACTGCATTCATTAAAGCAACTGCCCGAGCATCCTCAATTGCAGAATACATATTCTAGTATAGAGGAGTAATATGTGCAATATAGAAAGTTAAATAACATTGGTGCATTTCAAAAATTCATCATGATCAGCACAAATATTATAATGAAGATAAAATTATCAAATGGCAACATATGATGAACGATGATGATGATGATATTGGCTATGATGACAGTAATTACAAAATCTAATAATTAACACAGTGATGATCATGATAATTGATCATATTGATAGGCTCAAAGTGCACTCATTTAATACCTCAGCTACTCCGTTTCTGCAATCCACCACGTTCATAATTGTAGATCCTTCCATTTGGGAGTGAGTCATAACCTCCGTCTCTTTCGATGGACTTGGAACTTCATCGTCCATCAGAACAGGAACCTCAGTAAATGTCAGAGAGGAAACTCCCTTGGCGTCCATTAAGGTTACTATCTACTAGTTCTGATAACGAAATATAATATATAAATGTTTTATATGTTAGTCAGTTATGTCTTTGTTCTAGGGGCTTAGAATAAATTGAAAGTTGAATTGGAAGACCTTGTACTGTATTTCTATAATGCCTTTCACAAATATTCTTGTCTAAAGGTGTTCCAAATTTTAAACCAAGCCAAGAAATAACATCTAACTAAATAAAACACACACACACACACACACACACAAAAACACCATCACAGGATTCAATCAACCTGAAGGCCAGCCGCAATTGGTTTTACAGTTTAACTGTTTGTTATAATATTTAATACCATCAGTAAATTTCTTGTTATACTTAGATATGGCATTGTCGTGGGAAGAACTTAACCGACGTCTGCAGTTGCATGGTTTGCAATCGATCGATGTGACTACCCCAAGTAAGGTAGCTGGAGGTAAGATATTTCCAGAACACAAAATTCGTCATTATACTTCTCAACACAAACCAAACTATCTAAAGATACAAGCTAGTTAAATGGTAGCTACTGTGAATGTGAAGAGAATTTAGAAACATTTGTTCATTCTATTATTTTGTTTAAAATTTTTATTACAGTACTTACAGTATTAATGTAGAGTACAATATACAATTCCAGATTTTTGTCTATTTTTATATACTTTTGAATGCAAACGGTTAAATTTTAATTTAATTATTCCCAGATTTAGAAACTAATGTAGCACAAAAGGTGATTCAAAAGAATGTGACAAGGCTGATTCATGATTTGGATCGAAGACAAGACATAATCCAGGACCTTGTCAAGAGCAATGACATTTTGAAGTGAGTGAACTTACAGTAAAGTATTCACATGCAAATATCTGGTTAACAAATGTTATTAGGAAATAACAGTAAAACCAAGGCTTTGGAATATTTTTTTAAAAAATAATCTGGGATTTATATATCCTTTTGAAATAATTATATTCAAGCATAAATAGGCCTACTGTAGTATTTGCATTAATAATTCAACATTCTTTAATACACAGGCAGGAAAGTCGACAAGCAAAATCTGAAATTACAGATTTACGACAGCTTCTCCTCAGTGCTAAGGACAAGATTCAGGTGAGCGTGACTACAGTCAGCTATACACAAGTGATAATAATGATACATTAATAAAAAGGAACGTTGTATTCCAATAAATAATAAATTTTAAATGATTTTGTAAATAAATTTAGGAAATTGAAGGAGAAAAACAGAGTTTGAAATCAAGAATTCTTGTCAGCAGTGATGGCGGTACAGCCTCAAAGCTAGCTGACAAGGTAGACTGTCTTCAGGTCACATGTCTTGAACAACAAGAGCAGATTGGACAACTAAATAAAAGACTGAAAAAGGTTCTCAAACTAAAAGTAAGTTAAATAGTAGAAGAACTGGAACATTGTGAGTTTCAGGTTATGCTGAGGTTTATTTGTTCAGGATAACCGATAGGCCTACAGGGTACATATAAGTATGCAATCATGAGTTGGGGAGGGGGAAGTACTATATATCCTTCCTTTTCCTGTTGTTTTTGTGAAATGTTCTATACTATACAGTGTTAGAGTTGTAGAGTAGCATTGTTATTCTTATAATTGTTGATAATTAAAACTACAGTATTAAAAAGTTATCTGGGTTTTTTAGGAACATGAAAAAAGTGATAGTCACGAAGAAAAAACTATTGGAGACAGAAGGTAAAGAAGACCAGTCTTAAATTGATTACATTATAATTATTGATTCATTACCGGAGAGGTGTCAGCATCATCTGGACCATCAGAGTTGTTAGAGTAAAAAAAGAAATTAAAACATTTTTGAGGAGCATTGGTAACTTAGCCAGAAGTATACACTGTCAAAATTTACGTAAACCATGCCATACTACCAGAAATTAGATGTTTATGATAACAACTGTACTATTTTTTTATTTGCTCATATTCTAACCGCAACTAAAGTTGCTAATTACAGAATTGAAAAACAATTATATAATTACAGTATAATAAGATAAACAAAGTTCTGACATTGTCCCTAATATTGGATTGGGACCCTTGATGCTTATGTGATTTTTTAATGATTTGGATTTACATTTAAACTTGCCTACAGTAAGTCGAATCCACAATGGCATTAAAAAATTGGACTTACAGATCGTTAAATAATGGAAAACATAGCATGGCATGTAAAATAAGATCGACTTAAAAAATATTTGAGTTAGAAAAAGTCGACTAAGGCAAGTTTGACTGTAATTGAACTTTTAATGGAATATTCTTGATCTGTTATATTACAATTATATAATTTTTATAGAATTATAGAATATCAACGGAAGATTGAAGAACTTGAAAGTGCCCTGTGTAAGTACAGGTAGGTAATTAAAGACACATGCCACTATTGTTCACATGATGTACATTTTTTTTTTTATAAGAACCAGTAAAATTTTGCCCAGGCTCAGTGTTCTTATTTTTTGGCCGATTTCAGGCTCAAAATGTTCTTAATTTGTTCTTATTTTACACACTTTTCAAACACAGAAAATTATTATTGTACAGCAAAAATGGGCCCTGAAAAACATGCCCTGGAAAAATTGCCCCCAAAAAAAGTCCTGGTAAAAATGGCCCCAAATGACAGTACACCTGATTATAGGGGGTATTACATAGTCACACCTACATTACTGCACATAATTTTTTGGTTTTTCAAAAACCTCATTTGACATTTTACCTCAGCCTCAGTGTTCTTATAAAATGTGTGCTTATAAAAAAAAAAAAGAGTGTATAATGGTTATCAACTGTAAACATGCAGCATGAGCAATGCTCAGTAATGGGTTTGTGAGCTGTAAAGCACATATTTGATGTTAAAGAGGGTTTGAGGGTTTTACCATAATGGTTTGCTAATGCTCCAAAAGATGCGGGCCCCAAACATTGAGATTTTCGAGAAATGCCAGGCCTAGGCCCATGCATGTCTACTGCCTGTTTAGGTACGCACGAGTCTTTGATCTGTAACTGCGATTTTGACATGCTACGATTTCTAGGCTAGCTTTGTTTACAAAGGATCACATAAATTCCAAAGCATACAAAGCACATTGAATGCTAAAATTAAGTAAATAAACACTAATTTGTACAATCATAGTCTTTGCTTGCCAGTTATTTCTCACATTAATGGTGGGTGAATGTGTTTCAAACTATACTTGAACACTAATCGCACTGTAAATTCTCCATAGTAATATCTACAATATGTCACGTGACCAACTGTAAACAAACCTTGTGGAATATGTCTATTGTTTACTGTACTATTATAATGTAAAGATTGGAGAATAACCCATAACTCGCAGCGTCATTTGCTGAGTTGCATATGGGCGTGGTCTGGGACTACTGTAGCAGCCATAGAGAGACGCTTATTTCACATCGTTGAACCATAGCATTGGGGTAACCCCCACTATTCCAAAAGATGCAATGGGTTCTCCAAAGTGCACACGAGCCAGATATACACACTGGACCTCCTGTTTTTAAATCCCAACCCTGGGCGAGAGCAGGTTGAACCGGCGCCAATGTTGAGGCTATAGTTAGTGGCACCCCTGACTCCTCTCGACTCGCCTGATTAATTATTAAAAACCAATAAATAAAGTTTCTTTACAAAGAAATGATTAAAAAGCTGTACAAACCACGTTAACAGAGATACAATCTAAAGTACAATAATAATCATAGTGGAAGCAGTTGGTACAATAGTAGCTTGGCTTAGACTCTCAAAACCCCCACAAGTTGTTTGTGTGTCCTTGGTCAAGACACTTTACAGTACGTTTGTCTCGACTTAAGAGTATGCGTGCCGACAAATGCTGGGAATTTAAAATGAACTTGCAGGGTGGGCGGAGTGGTGAACCACCCACAGCCTTGCACAGTTTGGCCCAAACCAGTAGAAGCCCTAGATTATATGAAGTGTTTAAAAATTCTGATTTTTAAATGAAGGATGAATAATAACAATAAAAAGATGATACACTACAGTAATTATTGTTGTACCTGTGTGATTTTATTTATTCATATTCATAAATATAAGTATTGAACAGAGTTGTACTGAACAGAGTTTTATAAGACAAAGGTCATGAACTAAGGCATTCATGAAATGCCATTGAAAAATTGTTCGCCTTAAAAAAATTGACTTACAGATTGTTAATGGAAAACACAACAATTTGGCTTGTAATATATTACATCCACTTAGAAATTATTCGATTTTGGCAATGTCATCGACTTAGAAATTATTCGAGTTGGGCAATGTTGACTTAGTACAAAAAGACAACATTAACTCTATAATAGAGCCTGGCTTCAATTGTATTCTGGTATTTGAAACTGACAATGTCAATAAAATGAGTAAAAAATAAACTGGAATTCAGTTTTAAAAAACTGTTGCAACAAATATAATTTTTTAATGTGTATATTGTTTAATTTATTAATCATATTCTATGCATAGTAAAATTGAATTTTTAAATTGATAAACAATAAGAGGGCTAACTTAAGTACAGTAATAATTGAATAATGCATGATTGCAACTAGGGCCTAGCGCCAGCAAGTGTTAGGGAGTACTCCAAATCAATGACTAAAATACAAATCTCCCTCCAATGAAAGACCCCTCCAATTAAAGACCATTTTCCTTTGGTTCCAAGTTAACAAATGTTTTACTTTTATTATTCTAATTAGAGACCAAAGCTGCTAAAAAAGACCATGCCATGGTGGAAACCCCATCCCAAAAGTGGTCTTTTGTTGGAGGGAGTCCAGGATTATATTTTGGCGATTCCAACCACAGTATGATCGTGGTCAAAATAATAGCACAATTTCTATCATATACACTACTAAATTCTATCTCTCTGCAACAAGAGATATTCACTTGACCTAATCATGGACCTATTAAGTCCATGACCTAATTTTTCAAGGAAGTGGATATATTTACGTCGCCGTGAACACGTCGCTAAACGATATATTTACGTGAAATCGATAGCGCATGCGCACTTCCCTCTTATTGAGGGCCGACCGTAAACAATGCATAAAACGATATATTTACGTGGTAAATTACATGATAAACACGTAGCTTTACGTAAATATATAAAGAAACGATATATTTACGTGGTCGTAAACAAATCAATAAACTATATATTTACGTCAAAATTAATTGAGCATGCTCTACACGAGTTTTGACCCGACACCATTATAGCTGTCTCTTATACACATCTAGATGTGTATAAGAGACAGCCTTCTGAGTGTACCAAATGGTCAAATAGCCCATATATATTATTGCTGTGTATATAATAGAAATAACTTTGACCTAGATGACACACGCATATAAATCTTATATGTTTAATCGTTTTATTTTTTTCTGTAGGTAGTGTTGTATTACCAAAACTGAAAAAATGCTGTAATGCTGTACAGTACTGTTGATTAAACATTCATTCTTCTAATTTGACATCATTCTTCCCAGCATCTAATTTAATTCATTTATTGTTGTTTTCTCGTTTTATTCTAGGCTGTGGTTAACAAAGAGGTAACACTCATCCTCAAGTCTCTTCGGGCTGATGTGTACACACTTGAACAAATTCTTAAAATAAGGTTTGAATTTTGTTGTATTGATGATAGACACAATCCTGGTGCTTGACTATTTTAAGATAGCCTAGTGAGAAATTGTGATTTATTTTCCCTGTCAGAACTCAAAGGAAACATGCAGAAAAGATGAAGGATAGACTGAGACAACTTGAGCTGGCAATAACTAAAACTTGTGCCCCAGATGAAGACACACTTGCTGAGCTGCACACCCAGGAATCCATTGTGCAGGTAAAGGGATATAGATAAGCACGCATCCTACAAACACACAGCTGTATGGCTCTGTAGTGGTGGTCATCTTGTGACGTTACCAACAATATCCAAGGGACAAGGCTTAGCAGATCTTACTGATCTCTACTTGCCCACTCGGCGCCTCTCGATATTCTTGCAAAATCTTCTCACTGTTCCGAAATTTCATATGGCCAAAGAACATTTATATCTGGTGCTTCGTCCCTTTGGAAAGATCTACCTTCTTCCATTAGGTCATGTACCTCTATTATTATTTTAAATCTGAACTCATTTCTTTAATAGCTTGCCTTCTTAACATACACTGCGCCTTTGATCATTCTTTTTTGGAATTGGTACATTACAAGGTTTTTTAGTATGATTATTAAATGTCAGTGACATTAATTCACAAAAATACTATTTTGTGACTAATTTTTTCATTGTGGTCATCAGGAAATATTTATTTCTGTCAGTTGAATAAAAACTATTGTATCATGTTTTTATTTTTATGTGAATTTAGTAATCTTGAATAAAGTAGCAGTATTTTCATAAGGACTGATACTAATATTATATATTATTTGTTCTTTGTTTTTATCTCAGAATTTGTTTACAGCATTAAAAGTTGAGGAAGAAAAACAAGCATTAATTAAGATACATGAACTTAAAAATGCTGGGAAGAATAATATAAAATTAAGAAAGGTAAAAAAGACTTTTCATTATAGGTCTTCAATACTTCTTCTCTAAAGAAAGCATCTCAGATCTTTTCTTGCACAGTTTTTAGTCAATGATTTAAAGCTTCAGGTGAATGGTGGTGACTAAGAATGCTCCTTTATCTGCATTCCTTCTTGCTCTCATTGTCATCCTTCCACATTCCTCCCTTCTCTTATTTGCTCTACCTCTGCCCTATCAAGTATTTATTTATTTATTGCATATTCGGCACAAGAATTACAAATCAGAAAATGGCCAGAGGGGTGCCAAGAATACACCATGGGCTGAGAACCCAACACAAGATGTGGGTATTCTCTAAACCCCCCCCTGGTTAAACAAACAAATAACTAAACAGCATAGAGGCAAAGACAGTACATCATAAATAAACAAATAATGGAGAAACAGTTCAATCTGTTTACATTCTTCTCCATCACACTTCATCAATTATTACTAAAGCTCTGTCCATACTATCAAATTTTCTTTGACAAAAGATACTGTTGTATGCCTATATATAGTCATGATGTGGTATCATTATGACCATATTTGGGTGTGTTACATAAAACTAGATTATTTCCAGTCTTGTAAGAGGCTATTGCTGATAAATTTTTTTTGTTCTGACTTGTTTTTCTTTAGTTTGCTGAAGAGGTAATTTCTCTAATGCATGAAGCTGAACCAACAAAGCAAACTGTACCTAATACACCTAACTCAGTTCATGAGGCGTGGTGTGAGCGAACATACAAAAGTGCCTTACCAAAACTGAGAACACTCCTACAATCATCCAACAAACCCAGGAAATTGGACCCAAGCTTACCTGTCGGAATGAAGAATGCATGTCCCATCGTCGAACATGTGGAGTATGCACGTATCGTTGAGCACCTACAGAAACTCTTTGATGTTAAAACTATAGAGGGTGTCTTCCCACGTATGAATGAAATCTACATGAAGCTTGGTGAAACCCATAATGTGATGCACACATTAAAAGAGCTTTTAGGACTTAGTGAGTTTTCATTCTTTTACAACTTAAAAATTTTAAACAATATAGAACATTCAGAATTGAGGTGTATGTTGATAGTTGCCTTCCATTCCCATGGTCCATGGCTTCAAATCTTGCAATACCATGGATTTTCTCCAAAACAGTTCCACTTCTCCACCCCTGTAATACTACTATAAAAGTGTGTGATTAAGCGCTGCATCAAAGCTAATCATGAGTTTGATAATTCAGGATGTTTTTCAATAGATGTGGCAGGAATATTGCTGGATAACATGAAACAAATATGCCAACATATAGGATTGACACTTGAGTTAAAGATTTAAATAATTTTTAACATTATTTCTGTTGTGTCTCAAGTCAGATGTTTAAACTACCATATATATTTATGGCAAGTGAAAGAAACAAGTCCAAAGTAGTGGTAAATGCTATTGGTAAATTGTGTGAAATCCAAAGAGTTAATGGTGGCTCACATAAAAAAATTTAGACATTTTAATGTATTAATAGGCATTTTCTTTTATTGTTACATATTTGTTATGACAGATGAAAGTAAGAAGTCCACTGCAGTTGTGAATGCTGTTGGTCGGTTGTGTGAACTTCAGAGGAGTACAACTTATCAACAACTTAGCCAGCTGCTTCAGGAACAAGACCTTAGCAAGTAAGACTTGCGATGTAAAATTTGGAAGTTCTTTGATAAGACAAGAGTTTTTTAATTCCTTGTTTTGTAAACCCGCAGCCCGCGAACGTTTATGATTTCAAATAAAGTAAAATTTTTCTTTTTTATTTTTTTATGCCCGACACTGCCTCAAAATCTCAAAAAATAAGATATGTATATTTCTTCTTAATTATATAAATTTAAAGCATTTAACCATCCCATTACTACACTGTATAAATTAGACAATAACATTTTATTTTTAATTTCTCCTCCTTCTGAATGTTTTTGGCAAAACCATTTGCTAAATAAGAAAACAAATTTTTGTTTTTATATTTTTTTTGCCCTGACGATCTTTAAGTTTGCGCAACAAGGCATAAAAAAGTCTTGCCTAACACGGCTTACCCATGCCAAAACGACGTAATTGCTTTTATGTTTTTGTCAAGTTAAATTTTTTTGCCTTGGAACAGCCAAACACCACAAGTTTAAGACCTGTGCCCAAATCAATTATCATAGTACTGTAGTAGTGTTCTACAGGGTTGGATTTTTCCCATTATTATTTCATTTATATAAGAGAGCTAACCTTCTAGGAGAACCTGGAACCACCCTTTCTAATAAAAATCATGTTGACAGCTGCAACACAGATTTATGTACAGTGTATGACAGGTACAAATTCCCAAGTTACATGTGTAAAATGGTGCAGATAAAGCCTGGTTTCTATAAAAATCGCTACATGCAATTGCTGTCTCCTTTGGCTGACACTGATTGGTCATTTGAATCAAGGAGTGTTCCAGATCGCGTTGGGGACAGCTATGCAGTACAAAGATTGCACTGAATGGAAACTCTGTAGCGACAACAGACAGCAGAGGGAACAAGAAGAAGCCACATTAGATTCAGCAATTTTCTCAAGACCTATAAAGCATGATCAAAAATCATTGTCCTCTTCCACCGTATTTTTATGGAAAAATTAACTGAGGAGGCAGTATTTGTGTTATTACCATTATTTTATAAAATGTTTCAATAATATATATGTTTATATAGTGCTATTTAAGGGTGTAGCATGTTCTGCTACATTTTTTTTTTATAAAAGTCTATATAATGAAATAAGCCACTTGTAAAAGCATTATTTGGCCTTCAGTGCAATTACCCTATTCTTGGCACTAATTTATTGATTTGATTGACCTCTATTCATTTCATGGACGCCTACTATTTCCTTTCAATGATGCAGTGTCAGCCAATGTTTAAAATGTCAGAACAGAGAAATAGTATATTAAGTTAGAATAAGAAGAAACAAAATTAGAAGTCTCCCAGCTTGTGGCAAATAGGCCTGGCAAAACCCTAGCAAATAGGCCTAGCAAATAGGCCTGGCAAATAGGCCTAGCAAATAGGCCTGGCAAAACCCTAGCCTAGAAATCTTAGGCTCAACAAAGCCGTAGTTGGTTCATTTCAAGTGATTTGCTTTATTAAATTATAAATCAGTACAGTATAGGCTCATCATAAAATGACCCAATTAAGTATACATTTAAGTCTTATACTGAAATTGAGAGTACTGTATATAAACCACTTGGTACATTATATTTTCAGTGTCATCGTTAGACTAAAGGAGTACGAGAGGTTTTTCCCAGCTTTTGAAGCTACCATGAACAGATTGATGGAAACGCTAGGCAAGTTACAACCTTTTTCAAATACCCCAAGAATTGGCCTAATTTCATGTGCTTATACTTGAAGAACTAAACTGAATGATCAATTGCTCAAAATGCTCAAGAGATCTTTCTCATTATTGATGATAAGCTATATTATGTATTCCTAGTAAAAAACAGTGACATTGTTTAAAAAAAAATGCTTATACTGTAGTGGGAAAATCTGATTAATAATCCAGTGTTAGAATGTTGGCTGTTTTTAGTTCATTTATCTAATTTTTTGTGTAATTTACATTTGTGGTAAAGCTCTCCTTTTCAAATTTCAGGTGTGTCATCAATGCAAGAGGTGGTTCCAGCAGTACAAGCCCTGAAGCTTCTTGCACCTTGATGATGCCTTGTTAGCAGTGGCATATCTAAAGGGAAAAGGAAGTCTGCACACACCCCCAAGAAAACTTGCACATCCTCAGTTGTCCCTCCACTAGAAATTTCCTGTGTAAAAACAATTACGCTTTAAGCAGTTCACCTTGTACAGTATTTCGCCAGGGCCTCCAAAAGTGGCTCTGGGCCCTAGGGGCAGTGAAGCTGCCAGGGCCCTAAGAGCACAGTAAGTGGCTGGCGGATGCACCCAGCAGGGTCCAGGGTCAGAAGCTACGGCATTTTATGTAATTAGATGTCTAGTTCAGACCATTAGACATAAGAACAGAGAGTAGATGATGTCATCATCTTGAAAAATCCATTATGTAAGTAGAATATAAACTCATTTAGGCAAGTTGATCAAAAGAAATTCAATTAAACCAATGATAAAAGATAAAAATGAAATTGTTCGAGGGTGCACTTCATATCTGAGACAACTATATATATAGATGTCTCAGAGTATATATGTACTAGATAATTACCATATTGACTATGTGAATGTTGTTCAAAACATTTTTTCCCATTATATTTTTAATTGTTTTGTCCAGTGGGCCCTCTCTGATCCCCCTCCCCTTTCTTGGTGGTAGTGCACAGTATTTCACCAGAGTATAAAACTGCAAGAGGTCCGACTGCTATGATTTTGTATGCATCCAATGGAACGTTAAAAAAGTACTGCCACAAAATAAGGGTGCTCTATTCGAATTTGAATAGAGTTCGAAACTCGAACATGCATGCAGCACACATTCGATCATCGAAAATCTTTTAAGGCAATGAAACCACGACAGTTGGACCTCTTGCAGTTTTATACTCTTTGATTTAACTAACTAGCACTCTATTACACCCATATTTATCTTGCTTCTTAAGATCAGTTCTCACAAAAAATAAATTCTGTATGTGCCAAAAAGTAGTTTGTCTTGCAAACAAAAATTATCTAGTTTCATATTGTACTAATTAATACCATTTTAAAGTTAGACAGTATTTTGATATGATCAAATTTGGCTTGATATTTTTTTTACACCAGTTTTGTACAATTAACATAAAAGTCTAAAATTCTATACACTTGGATGGAAAGCATCTGGCACTCCAATCGGTTTAGTATTGTACTTGATAATGTAAGGAACAAGTGTTTTATATTTAGAATTTTACAGTTAAGGAATAAACAAATGTTGAATTCTGAACTATGAGTTTTTTAACTTTATGTATACATTTATTGTTCATTCCCCAGAACATCATATTTCATTATTTGTGAGGCTGTAGCTAAGAGACAATAATATATACTGTACATAAAAAAATAATAATTTGCAACTCAAATTTTCTTTCAAGTTTATTAAAGAGAAAACATTAATCATGCAATAGTAACATGATTCTTGTTATATAATTTACATCATTGCAAAACAGAAGAACTTAATTTTATTCACAGACTATTTTATTCTGACTAAAAATCTAACAATACATTAATACATTAAATTCATTGATAAAAATCATTGTCTTCAATTAGTATGCAAAAAAGTGTGGAGAGGAAGCAGACAGTTCTAATTTGTAGAGAAAGTTATTGTACTAACAATAAATGTTTTAGCAGCATTAAGGCTGTACTAGAACTTTGCATAGGCTCCTCAAAATACCCAGCGACTTCATATACGACATAAAATTATAACTACACTATACTATTCACTGATAACAAATTTATTAATGTCTTCAACATTTCTTCATGATTTTAACATTTTTGTCTGGAATTAACGATCCTATGATGATTATGTTGACAGAAATAATTTAAAACTAATAGGCAAAACCTGTGGAGAGGAAGCAGCTTATATGCATAGGGAATACTACTAGGGAGAAAATCATAATGAAAAAAAAAAATTATTTTATGTTATGCACCTAACTAGTCAGTATAAGCCTCCAAAAATGTTTCTGACCGGGTCACAATCTTGAAAATCTGTGGGTTTTTTTTGCCAAGAGTTATTATCCCCAAGGAGGAGCCCAAAATTCATTTATGCTGCTTAAAGAGGACATAAACCGTAGAATTAGTTCCCAAATCTAACTGTACTTTTGTTGGTCTAATCAATCAAATATATATGTTTTTTACATGTTTCTGATGAGATAAAGACATTTCCTGGTTAAAAACCCTGAACATTTTGTGATAATACCTCCACCACCTGATCATCTTAATGGCTCCCTGTGTCACATGACAGGTAATCATCTCAGCTGATTACCCATCTGGCCCAGTACACCAACCACTAATTCTTTGAGGGTCTGAAAATAGAAGGAATAGATAATTTTAAAAATAATTGTAGAATAATATTTAATTTTGCCTTAGCCTCATTTAACTTCTTTCACATGTTTTAATTTATCTTTATCCAACTATGAAGTATCTAGAAAAGTCCATCTTTTCAGACAGCTGGTTGGTTTTCCTGTGTATCGTCCTTCAAGAACCAGTTAGGGGAAGTACCCAATTAGTATAGTAATGGGTTATGGTTGGGGATTTTTATAGTGTATATTACAGTACTGCCAGACATTTTTTTCATACAACTGAAATAAAGGAATTTTTCATTGCTTGATAAAATTATATGATACAATTGCTTGATTATAGTTTTCTGAAGTATAATAATAGCATCATCTTAGCCAACCTGGGGTTTGCAATACTCTTCCAGCCAACTGAAGACACAGGCAGAAAGTTCAGCGAAGCTAGCTACAGAAATGGATTGGTTAAATGTTTGAAACTGGGCATCCATTATTGCTTTGAACTATAAGGAGAACAGAAAAAATACTAATGAATATTGCATAAATACATCTCAAAAACATTAATACTTCTTAGCAATATTGCTATTTTGTTTGCCACATTCCTATGGTAAACAACACTAATGTAGTAGGATGAATTAATTGGTAGGTGAAACTTTTTTTATACCTTGTTTCATAAAGAAACACACTTATTTTTTGGGGGGGGGGGCATGTGCATTAAATGGCCAAAAATAAAATTTTATTTGTATTTGAAATCATCATTATTGGCAGGTGTTAGGTTCGCTAAACAAAGTCTTGCCTGATTTATGATGTATGTTTTATAAACTATATTGTTTTTATTTACCATACCACTTTAGGGTACAAAACCTAAGACACTTACTACATTAAACTTGACATGATCTGACACCTGGTTCTGTCCCTGGCCTGGTTGGCTCTGGTGAGCTTTTACAATCTGTTCGTAGTTGCTAAAGAAATGAAAGACAGCATTTATTAACACTGGTGTTACATATTCTTATTATGAGCTGTATTCCAGCACGCTTCCATTTAGTTTAACTGCACATTAAATCTATGTTATTACTGTATATAATTTTTAGATAAGAACTTACGTCTTCATGATTTTCAGGGCCATAACTTCCTTACGAAGGGCCTCGATGTCATCATCTTGCTCCTTTCGCTTCTTTACCAGATGTTGAATGTAGTCAATTGCTAGGCAAAGAAAGTGAATACATACAAATTGTTTATAACAAACAAAAATCAACTCAACAAGTAAATCAATTATAAATTATCTTTAGTTTTATAAATGAATATTTCATGCTTACATCGCTGTAACACAGTTGCTTTGGAGAGCTTGCTGGAACCAAGCGGATCTGACTGATGACAGGTTGGAACAATACTTTGGAGATCTTCATAACCTCGCTGAAATTACAAGGATATTTTGTAAGAGTACACTCATACATTGTTATATGAAAATAAGTATGTTTTCTCAATGTAATCATTTCCCCATCAATTTGTTGTTAGGTGTTACTGAATGGGTATTTTTGGAACTAGATTAGGGTTCCATCCATAGGATATGGCAGTTAGGAAGCTACAACTTAACCAAAGACATTGAGAATCCTTTTCCAAGAAGGCCTCCAGCCTGAGAGGGTTGGAACTTGCAATGATACCCCCTTAGTTACCACAGGCACTTGTGCTAATAGTTACTATTGTTATTTTTCAATTGTTGCATTTGCACACAGAAATGAAAGACGTCCATTTACTGAGCCTTACATACCTTAATGGCATCCCTCCTCTTCTGCTCAGCAGCTGTATGTGCGCTTCGCCGACGATCTCTTGGACTCACGTAGGAGTTCTGTTCACCATCATCATCTTCATCTGCAAAATCAAGTACGGTAGTACTTAAGACTACACGTGACTAGGGTAGGTTGTAGAGTATAGAATGGTAGTAGAGCCGAACTACCATTATTTACAAACAATGGCAATATTTAAAGGTAATAATGGGGTATTTATTTCATAAAGTAGCATACAAGGTGTTGGATAACATTCCTATTGTTATAGTACCAACATTGCTATATTCTAAATCCTACTTTTGCAAGCATTCCATGTACAATGGTTTACTGTAATGGTGGCATAACAGAAATTAGTAGTTTGAATTCACATGTCAACATGCTAAATCAACATCATGCAAACCATTGCATAATGGAAATAAAAATGCAACATATTTAACTTTAATAAACAAATAGATTTGGTGGGGATTTCATCTAAAATCAAGATGTAATGGGGTTTTGTCATCCAGGATAATCCAATAAACCCAGAGGCTATTTGTATAGGGATGCTCTAGCTTTGCTTGTAGAAAGGCTAAAAAAAACCCTAGCAAGCAGAAGTAGTGCATCCACTTATCTGAAATGCAGAAGACGAATAAATAACAAAAGTGGGTAAGAAATCTGTAGGTGGTGGTAGCCTGTGGTTTATTGATGATAGACGTTCCACTTAGGTTGTATTGTAAGCTGACTGACCTGTTAGCTGGAGGGAGGATGAACTGCCATTGCGTGGCAGACTGTTCTGTCGAGACAAAGATTGTACTTCTACTTTCACATCTGCTTCAGTGAAGCCTGTTGACAAAGTGGTTGAAGAAACAATAATCAAAGTATATAAATTACACAAAGATTCACTCTAGTGGTATAGCCTGCTTGGAAAAAAAAACTGACTAGCATCCCCTGTACCTACACAAGGCAGCATTGTGTATGCATATTTAGCATACTGATTTAGGCCAAAACAAGTTGTGTTGATCAAGCTGAGTGACATTTGAAATCAAGGTCAGTCAGTCAGTCATTTTATTACTCAGTAGTCCTAGGCCTAATTCTAGGGTTCATTGTCAACCAACATTCACTCTATATTTGATTGGTAAAATCGTAATCACTGGGCTAAAGTACATAGTTGTAATTTTCACTGTGTCTAGATACACGGTACTGTATCGCTACTTCCGTTTCCTAAAGGTACGGTAAATGGCAATGCACCATTACCGATTGGGGGAAGTACCTAACAGCGATGGTGCTACATAAGATTGCGTAAGTCTATGGTTGCATATGTATTCACAGGTACTGTATATGAATTTTGGTCGGATTGTAATGCATGGTAATTTTGAGTATATTCAGTATTAACTTAGGCTTCTCTTAGACTAACACTTGGGATTTTAGGGGGTTGAGAACTTCAGACTTGTTACTGTATACTGTTATGCTGCCAAGCGAAGAGGCTAAGGCCTAGGGCTATGCCAAAACATTGGGCCAGGATTCATTCATTGTTTGATATGGCTATAAATGACTAGTCTCTTCCAAAGTGGAACCATCTGTCTATTTATCACTGACATACTGTACTTTTTGCCTAGCTAATAATGTTCAAATAATACCCAATACTGTACATCATTCATTCGTCACAAACACCGCCAGTGGCGTATCTAGGTGGTGGGTGCACAACCCCCCAAAATACTTGCGCCACCCCACAGGTGGTGGGTGCACAACCCCCCAAAATACTTGCGCCACCCCACCCCTTGTCCTCCAAAAATCACGCTTAAGTAGTTAAAAATCAACTAAAATCACCTTATTTTGTGAAATACTGTAGCACCCCTCTCTTAATCATCCAACCCTTCATTCCCCATCAGCACCCCCTCCCCCAATTTCAAGGCTCCTAGATACGTCTCTGCACACGGATCTCACCATGTGCGATCTGCAACGCCACACACATTCCAGCGCTTCAACTGATGATGGTGATGTAATGCTATGTACTGTACCTTTAGGAAAGGGAAGTAGTGATATCTGCAGACACCGTGAGTACTTTATGCACTTAATGTGAAGCCAGTGAACATTGAAAAGGAGAAGAGGGAAAAATAGATAAACAGTAGAAGATTTTGATTACCATACCAGAATATTGTTAGACTTTTCAGTTATTCCAAGTTGCAATTACAGTAAGTTAATTTATAATCACATTCTCTTTCTACTCACCCAAATAGACATGCAAAAAACATTAGTAAGAAAGCTTTGTGTGTATGATGCATGGATTTCTAGTGTTTGATCTTACTTTGTTCAAAGCTCGAGTCTGCAAAACTTGAATCTGCAGTCATTGTGACAAATGACTTATCATCTGAAATAGAATAAACAAAAATAAAATTTTGGTACAATTTACAAATTCATCATCATCATCATCATCAAGTGATCTGCCAATCGGCAGGTTCATGGCAACCACTCCCCACATCTCTTCCGATCTAAATCCGATGTAAATTAAATAATGTTATTAGTGAAATTTAATTTTTAAAATTTAAAATACTTCTACATGGTTTAAGGAAACTATATATAAAATGTAAAAACATGACAGTAAGATATCATTATCAGATTTAAACTTGGAATAATAAAACCCAGCTAAGTAAGCCAGCTACAGTACCTAGGCGGAGGTTGCGCCAAAATTTGCCTGACGGGGGGGTCTGAGGTGCCAGAGGAGAGGGATGATGTCCCCGACGAGAGCAAAGTGTTAGGCGTCGCTCAAGATCTTTGGAAAATGATAAATATGTATGACAATTTAGGGGTTTCAAAGACATATTAATAGGCCTATTATTAATGTTATATGTAGATTGAAGAAACGCTGTGTCTAGAGATCACATTACCATCTTATCTTCCGTTTGCTAAAGGTACGGTAAATTGCATCATCAAATAAAATGCCGCCAACATCTCAAGGCCTAGCTACTGTACTAGGCCTCTTCGCCTACAGTAGGCCAAGGCCTAGCCTATTCCGAGACACTGCTGTCCGTGTGAATGATTCATTGTTGACATTTTCGTCATTGAATGAATGTCTTGTCAGAACACTGCATAGGTTAGACCTACATTTCTAAGACTGGGATATGGTCTAACCTTTACCTCGGGCCATGGCAAATCAGTCAATTATAAACATACGGCACTCTTACGACGAAATACCTATCTAGTCCAGCCTAGGGTCTAGGCCGTGGTGGTAGTGATACTGATTAACTATAGTTACCCATGGAGTGCATTCTTGTTGCGTTTTTCCCGCGACCGAGAAAAATACAAAGCGGAACGAACAATAACAAGTGCCCCCAAAAATAAATAATTATGTGCTTCTTATCAGGACCTATCATGTGACTATCTGAAGTCAACTTATAAAATATCTAGAAAATGGAAACAAGAAAACTGAAGTGATTTAAAAATCATAATACCCCTGTACATTTCGAAATTACCATTTAGGTTCTCCATCCATCAATCTGTCCAACTCTCTCAAGGGCTGCTCATCTA